GGCGGTGAGCCGAGCCAAGAGAAGCGACAAACCTCGCGTGAGGAGAGGACGAAGCTTTGTTGCAGGGGAGCAGTTCGCGTGGCACGGCGTGGAAGCCTTTAGCCAGGGTACAGAAGCACGCGGAAGGGACCGCGGGCCGATCTCTCGCGAGGAAGAAGAGGGATCGGCGAGGAGGAGCGGATGAGTTCGGTTCGGCCCACTAGGGATCCGCCCAGATTGCGAGCGACAGAGAGGAGAGGCGAGCCGTGACTTCACGCGAATGTGAGGGAGGCGGGATCGGGTGCGGTGGATTTGGGTATTTAGGGATTTAGGGGAAAATAAGAATTACATATATATATATATATATATATCAAACTTCATGCGATTTATTTGTGAGCGGTGCCCAAGCAAAATGGGTGTCCTCCCTAGATAATTTTGACGTTCCGGACGTGCTGGTGCACTCTGCTTTATCATCTGGGGTCGCTCGGACGACGTCGTCAACAATCGGGTCAAAAACGTGTCAAAATTTAAATTTCATAAAATTTTGACCCGCGATCGATTGTTTCAAAAAGTATTATTCGAGTCTTCGACAGGTAACAGTGCAAGCGAATGCAAGCGATGCGAATTGAGGCGATCGGATGCGTCGACTCTCCGAATTGCGAAGTAGTAGGATGAACTCCCAAGCATTCGTGAAAGGCCAAATAACCTCTCCAATATTTCATGCTAAATGAAAATAAGTGAAAAGCTTCATAATACTCATCCCAACATGCTTGCAAGAGGAGCTAAAATTATTTCAAAGCCACATTTCAACCCTCCTGTTCAAAGTAATAGGGATATGCTACAATTCCATCTCAAGCTAACAGGAGAAAATAAGAACACTTATATCATGCTATGCTTGCACCGTCCTAAGCAATTAATTGACTCTCACCCTTGAAACATGCTCACATTTCATCCTTCACATGCTTTTAAAGTGAATGCCTCAAAATATATGAAAGTAAAGAGAACTAGCATGCTGTACCATCCAACAGATCCAAGCTCAAAGGCTCGGCAGAGAGGAAAACCGAAAGGAAACAGGGCATCGAAGAAAAGGGGAAAGGAGGGGGGTACCTCTTTAATGTCAATGTAAAAGCGCTGCAACACAAGAATTCACCTCAAAGAAATGTGAGATTCCCTTTCCAATCTCCTCACAGCCAAAATTTTTACTCTCCTCTTAGAAAACCTTTTTTAACAACCAAAAAAAAATCAAAAGGAACTATGTTTATAGTTTTAACAACCCAAAAAAAATCAAAAGGAACTATGTTTATAGGCAGAGAAGAGAGGGGAAGAGGCAGAAGGTCACCCCTTGAACCCACGGCACTCGAATCGGGCCAAAAAGAAAGCAAAAAGAAAAGGGCACGCTCCCTGCTCACAGAGGGCGAAGCCACCGAAGCCTCTCGGACCCAGCGGCGAGAATAGTGGCAGAGAGGGAAGTATCGGGAAGAAGAGGAAAAAAGAGAAGAAATGTCATTCCAGTATACCAGGGAGCAAGCTTCCCAGAGTCAAATTACCAAGAAAAGGAAAACCACAGTTCAGGGAGACTGGCACGGCTTCGGGAAGGAAGGCCGCGAGCAGAGAGTGTCGGGCAAAGACAAATAAGAGGTCAACTTTCTCTCGCGTAGAGGAGGAGCTCGATTGGCTCGAGACCGAGAAAGGGAAAAGGCCAGACACGCGAACGGGAGAGGGGAAGAAGGCAAAGCTCGGGTGCG